TTTCTCTCCTCCGCGAGTCGTACTTACGACTGCTTATAAACCATGTGTCACACAGATCGGATTCGATGTTCATTAAGTTCTTGTAGACTTCATTGTACAGTTATATCGCTTGTAGAATTTCTCTGTACACAATGTTCTTAGTGACGAATCTACCACGGCCATCACTGTACATAGCAACTCTAATGGATTTTATGGATTGAGAGTCCCTCACTCGGGAAAACGCTGCATACAGTTGTCCTATAATAAAGTTTAAAAAAGTAGAATATAAATGATACCTATGTATTTATTAATATAATATATATAAATCATGTATACCTAATACATTATTGCATGCCAACGACATAATAAAAATGTTGACAAATAGTACAATATTTTAAGCATAGTTTTACACCTTTGGAGGAATTTAAATTCAATTTATTATAATTTTATAACATATAATATGTAAATGTAGTTTTCTTGTTTTGAAATTTGTTTGAAATATTGCAAAAAATTAATACATGTAACCCAATGTAAAGGTTAGTACAGGTATAAGGTATGAATTTAAGTAATTAAACTTGGTAATACAATATTAGTATATTATAATCGAGGGGTAAACACCTTGGGGGTAATCATGGGTAATCATAGGTAATCTTTGTAGTAAGTCATGGGAAATCATAGGTATAATCATTTAAATCAGTAATCTGGTGTACAAACTTTCTGTAATTACCCCTCGTATATAATATAATAGTATTACATAACATGTATGTTTTAAAAAATTGAAATGTATTGAATTTATTTATTATTACTTACCTTATTACGTATGTAACGACATCGTCATAAACAATCGACACACCAAGCTCCTACTAAAACTCTTAGCTATAATAGTTAAATTTACTGCAATACTCGTGAAAAATGTCTACCTAATCCGTGCATTCAAACTACTTATATTTTTAATATTATTGAAATGCTGAATGGCGGCTTCCACAACGGTACGATAATAAAATTCATAATAATGACATTTACATAACACTTGAACCGTTTCTGAATATTGCGTTTTACATATTATATATATTTTACACACGGAAATATCCCAATTTTTGTAAAAATCGCACACGCACTTTTTTTATTATATTGTATATAATATATAGAATTATTGAAATACGGAATAACTCGAAAATATTAACGTCAATCGTCGGACGTCGATAACGAAAAGGGAGATAAGCGAGCGGCGACGTGAAAATTAAAATTTAGCGAACGCGAGAGAAGTATTATGATTGGTCGTCATGGAAGAAACGCGGAGTTGCTTATTTGCTGCGTCGCGCGAGAAGTAATATGATTGGTCGTCATGGAAGAAACGCGGAATTCCTTATTTGTCGCGTCGCGCCTGGTGGCGAAAAACGGATAAAACGGTATTGTATTCATACGTTTTAGTAAAAAGTTGCCTTGCATTATGCAAGTTGCATAAGTGTATTCTTTTTAGTAAAACATCCAAAGTATCGCCTCGCCAGTCGCCACATTACGTTAATTTTCATTTGTAAGTATTATTTCTAGTTGTACTGATTATATTTCTTAATAATATGGTGCCAGTCTAATTTGTTCACAAATATAGATTTACAAAAAATGAAAATAGAAGGAAATAAAATTTCAAATTAAATGATTACCCAATTTCTATCTGGAGCAGAATCTGCGGTACTCATTTCACAACCAGTAATTATAAACAAGGCTCAGTATATAGTAGATATTATTATGGCCAGAGGCTGTCACAAAACATAATCCAAACTGCATGTCTGCTTAGAGGAGTCAAATAAACAATATAAAATCAATTTTAATAATTTATAGCAACACTGGTACTACTCTGAGCACGACTAGTAAATCATCTAAGAGGTAAAATCGTTTAATATTGAATTATTTTAATATTAATTAGGCAGGTAATTAGGAGGAATTCAGATATTTTTTACAACTTTATATTTTCAGAAAATTATATTTCTCCAACGATAAGTTTGAAGAAAACGAACAGACAAATAAAGGATTTGGAGACGTTACAGTCGATGATTTTAATTTACCCAGAAAAGCCTTAGAAACTTAATAATGTCTAATACACATACACTTATATAAGTATATTACTCAAGTTTTGATTTTAAATGTTTGCCAAAGCCATAAGTTACTTAGTTGTTTATCGTTTTTAGTTCATACAGTGGATTATACTTATTATGGTTTTCAAAACTGAAATATATGATATACCACATACAAGGAACTAGGAAGTCAAGCCAATGTGTTGACAATTTTCAGACGTTGACTTTCTTGAAGATAATTATATACATACCATATTGGAGCAGGTTATGAAACTTAAAGGTGAGAATATTGTTATTTGTTAATAGGTTTTTATTTTAAAGCTATTTTACTGTACTATTTTACTAACTAACATACCCACCTGTTCACGGGACACACATTGTATAATATGTAATTGTGTGCGTGGACTTAAATCTGTATATCGAAAGGGCTCAGCCCGTTTAGTCAAAATAAATTAATAAATAAATAATTATATCATTCAGTATTAAAATATCCATAACTTGTTTTAAAAATAAAATACAAATAAATGCTATTAAAGCTAACAGTACAAATTTGGATCTTCTGTACTCACACTTGCATGTTGCTCGTTATTCAAAGAGAGAAACCAATGGTGCACTGACATATTTTTAACAAAGTTTTAATTTTTTAGGCAATACAATTTTGCTGAGAAACAAACCAATTTCCATAACACAAAGGGCCTCAACATATTTAAATTGCAAAGAAACACATAACTAGTTTAGACTTCAGTATATTTTCTGAAAGGAAAATTAATCTAGTTGGATGACAGGTAAAAATTTAAAATTCCCAGGTGCTTTCAAATACATCAGGAAAAGCAGTTTTTTTTTGCATTTTCTGTACACCATACAATTTATAAAACAATTTAACTTGTTTTGAGCTAACTATTAGGGATAAGACATTTTGGTGGAATTACATTGAAATTATTATTTTTTTTATTTACTGTAATTTTAACAAATCCCATACCTAATTGATAAAAATTATGATAATATACGGTTATCGACTACATTTTTGTTTCTAAATAAACAAAAAGTTATTTTAGAACTCGTCACTATTGATCTGATTGTTATGACAATTGGATCTGCATTTCGAGACATTGCAAGTAATAGTGGCAAGTTGATACAAAAGAAAGTTCTATTGAAGTATATGTGAACATCTAAAATTGCATATAGGTACAAACTAATAATTTGTACACCCTAATTATTGGCATAGGTTAATATGAATTGTTCATTTTATATATGTTAAGGTGTATGACCGCATGGCAGTAAATGTTGACAGTCACCGGTGTATGTAGACATTCACTAATCATTTTGGTGAATGTTATCAATTATTTCAAATATCTCACAATGCGGACATTTACCAGTATTTGTTGACATGCACAATAGTTATTTAGTGAATGTTGACATGTGTGACAACGACAACATAATATATAATCAAATAGATAGCTAATAAATTCATAAATAAATATAGTTGAATAAATTAATTTTTTAATATTTAAGTTTAGTTAGTATAAGTTTATGCTTTATTAAGTTTTATTTATTACACATAAACAAACTTAAAAATAACATAACAACTTCATATGTTATATTTTTGAATTTGTTCTGCAATTCGTTCATCATTCTGGTTCGCCCTCCATGACCAATTTTTATATGAACTTCGTACATAATGTCGTATAGTTCTTCGTTCTCTACATAGTAAATAATTTTAGTTTCACCTGCTTTTAATGGGACGATTAGTATGATTATCCATAATATCCATAACGTCAAATCGATTTAATCGTCTGTAATCACTTTGTTGTTCATTTTTTTTTGCTTTAGCATTAATTATAACTTCACTTATATAGGTATTTATTATATTTTTCAGTGCTTAAATAAAAACAATTATCTTCCCTTTTTTTTAATAAAAGTGCACTAAACTTTTCATAAAAAATATCTTTTATACTTTTATCCATTATTAGTTTTAATTCGAATATAATATTAATAAAATATTACACTAAGGCCCGTTGTATTACACTAAACTGTTGCGGTTTAGAATACGCGTCGATACTGACGAGGGTATATTTATATTATATTATCTAGCAAACGATTGACAATCGGATTGTCTCATGCGATAACATTACTAACGTCCAAAAGTCTCCAATGCATATTGTGGCTTGGCGATAACATCTTAATAAATAATAATTTCACAAAATAATACAAAAATACCTTTTACATACATTGTGCTTCAAGTGTGGTCAACATTTACCAAACACTGACTGTAAATGTCAACAATCACCGGTGTATGAACGTATTAAGACAATTTCGTCAAAATTCACTACGGTTTTTGGTATATGTCAACCTACACCGGTGACTGTCAACATTTGCCTACTGCGGTCATACACCTAACCTAACCTCTATGATACTATATGGTTATCAACTACATTTTTGTTTATTTAGAAACAAAAAGTTATTTTAGAACTCGTCACTATTGATCTGATTGTTATGACAATTGGATCTGTAATTTGGGACATTGCGAGTAAGTGTCAAGTTGATACAAAATAAAGTTCTATTAAAGTGTGTGAACATTGTGAACATCTAAAATTTCAGATAGGTACAAACTAATAAGTTTTACACCTTAATTATTATTGGCATAGGTTAATATGAATTTTTTATTTTATATATAATATAAAATATTACATTTATTTTTAACTAAATTTTCACAGTAAGTTGAGAAATATCTACTAGAGAATACAAATATAAGTATATGTATAATAATATAATAAATAATTGAAAACTAACACTTTTGAGAATTTGATTTTCTTTAAGACAATTCTACAGGCCAAGTATACATTATAAATATTGCAATTATTCAAGTAAGTTATAAAAACATGACAAGAAATATTACCATCTTTACCAAAGACTAAAATTGAAAAAAAAATAACTGAAGAAGTTAGAAAAATGATGGGTGACATTTTTGCTTGTATAGAACCAGAGTTGATTGGATTTATTCAATATCATGAAAGAATGGATAGCACGTAACTATGATTATAAATATTTTTTATTTTTATTTTTTATATATATACTATATTATTTTAGTTATTCAATGGCTGTGTTAGTAAGACTGGGCCGTCATGTTATGTCTGCTAATGATACCGGCTCCTTTTTAAGTATGACTTATGGGTCTGCATTAGTTCATGTAAAAAGAAATTATGATAAACTCATGCATGCTCACTTAAAATCAATTCAAGAAGTAAGAATTATTAAAAAGTCTAAATGTGGCATACTTCCTTTTGTTGCCAACTTTGAGGTAACTACAATATTGTTTGTAATTTTTGTTGTTAATTTGACATAATTTTAAAGCTGTCTTATAATTTTTTTTTATTGTTTACTATTAATTTTTGTAGTATTTTGCCAAGACAGCTGAACAAATATTTAAAGAAACAGAGCTAAATGGTATCTTAAACTCTTAACTGTAATGTTTGAAACTATTCATTCAATTGCCAGTGAACACCCTAAGACTCCCGCCGAAGTTATCAGAATGGGTAAGAACCATAAATAGTTTTAAATTTAAACTAAATTAATACTAATAGTTCATTCATGGATTTAGAGAACTTTCACCATTTATATGCATTGCTGTCTCAATTAAAAATTGGTATATTAGATCAATTCAGAAAAGATGCAAAACAAAAGTATAGTGAGTCATTAAGTGCTTATGACTTATGTAACACATTATTTTGGTAGACCGCTCGAAAAACTGAATGTGAGTACTGACTTTAATTAATTTATACTATGAAAAGTTTATTTTGTTTTACATCTAACATACTTCTTCATTTTAGATTCTGAGCGGAGCGATGAATGTATTGGTTTTACAATGATGTATGTTTTTAAATTTTAGATTCTGAGCGGAGCGATGAATGTATTGGTTTTACAATGATGTATGTTTTTATATTTTTATATTTTTATTTATATTTTTATTTATATTTTTATTTATATTTTTATTTATATTTTTGTGTCTGTCATCACGTTTTGGGACAGTAAAAGTGCTTCGATTTTCTTCAATAGTACCTTTTCTGATAGGAAAGTGAATCTAGTTGGTACTTTGGGGGGTCAAAAGTAAACATTTTCCAGTAGTTTTCACAAGCGCCGGGAAAAACAACATAAAAATTAAGGAAAAACGGGAATTTTTACGCAAAATCGATTTTCCAAAAAATCGAATTTGGTTATTGGTGTAACTTTAAAACAAATGACCGTAGATACATGAAATTTTCACTGGTTGTTTATATTTGCATTTTCTATACACGATAACATTTTCAAAATATTTTGATTTATTTTGAACTGTTTAGGGACATTTTCATTTTTCATTTTTTTTTAGTTTTTTTTCTAGAAATATCAATAAAATTTTATTTGTTGGTTGCGAAAGCTTGAAAATTTAATAGAAGGCTCCTAATATGTTGTTTCAAAGGCAGATGAAAAATATTAAAAATCCTTAGTCACAATTTTTTTTTATAAGCATTTAAAGTTCAAAAATTGACAAAATATGGAAAAATCACGAAAATTAGCAAATTATTTTGAGTTAAGAATTCGTAAAAATTTTTCTTTTTAAATCTAAGATTTGAAAATGAAACACAAGATTCCTTATAAGATTATCTACCTTTATCAATAAAAAAATCTCTACCGGAAAGTCAAATTAAATTTTTATGAGCGTTTGAAATTCAAATTTTTACAACATTGGATTTTCACTCGATTTCTCATGTAGCGATTTCCTTATTTTGTTGTAATTCAAAAACGAATAACTGTAGATACATGAAAATTTCACTGAATGTTTATATTAGCATTTCCTATACACCATACAATTTTGAAAATATTTTGACTCTTTTTGAGCTGTTTATGGACATTTACAGCTTTCAATTTTTTTTAGTTTTTTTTCTATAAATATCAATAAAGTTTTATCTGTTGGGCCAAAAAGTGTAAAAATTTAATACAAGGCTCCTGATATATTGTTACAATATCAGTTGAAAAATATTAAAAATACATATCCACGATTTTTTTTTATAAGCATTTAAAGTTGGAATTTTGACAAAATTTATCAAAATCTCAAAAATTATCAATCGTTGGAATTAAAAAATTATAAAATGTTCAGTTTTTATAACTAAGAGTTGAAAATTTAAAACAAAGATTCTCTTAAATAATTCATACTGTAACCAAAAAATCTAAAAAATATATAAACACACTTATTTTTACAGACATTTTAATTTCAAATTTAGACAAAATTTCATATTTAAACCAAGAATTACGATTTTAGTTATTTTGTTGTGATTGAATAATATTATTCGTGGGTACTTGAAACTTCTAAAGTGTACAATTATATATCTATGACAGTATCACGGTTTTTGTTGATGTATAACGCGTTATAACTGTTATAAGTATCTAATGGATATTGTGATATGATTAATTTGGAATTTATTATAGGTCAATTTTTTGTTTAATACCATAGATATGTATATAATATGTCTTATACATAGACTGACATACCGTCACCGCTCAGAATCGTTTTTCTTATACAATGATATTATATCATTGAATTCAAATTTAATACCATCCATTATACAGTGACCCACTTGTAACCTACTGTACAGCAGAGCGACACCCACTTGCCCACCTTTTTATTTATATTTTTATATATATTTTTATTTATATTTTTGTGTCTGTCATCACGTTTTGGGACAGTAAAAGTGCTTCGATTTTCTTCAATAGTACCTTTTCTGATAGGAAAGTGAATCTAGTTGGTACTTTGGGGGGTCAAAAGTATAAATTTCCCAGTAGTTTTCACAAGCGCCGGGAAAAACAACATAAAAATGAAGGAAAAACGGGAATTTTTACGCAAAATCGATTTTCCAAAAAATCAAATTTGGATTTTGGTGTAACTTTAAAACAAATGACCGTAAATACATGAAATTTTCACTGGTTGTTTATATTTGCATTTTCTAAACACGATAACATTTTCAAAATATTTTGATTTATTTTGAACTGTTTAGGGACATTTTCATTTTTCATTTTTTTTTAGTTTTTTTTCTAGAAATATCAATAAAATTTTATTTGTTGGTTGCGAAAGCTTGAAAATTTAATAGAAGGCTCCTAATATGTTGTTTCAAAGGCAGATGAAAAATATTAAAAATCCTTAGTCACAATTTTTTTTTATAAGCATTTAAAGTTCAAAAATTTACAAAATATGGAAAAATCACGAAAATTAGCAAATTATTTTGAGTTAAGAATTCGTAAAAATTTTTCTTTTTAAATCTAAGATTTGAAAATGAAACACAAGATTCCTTATAAGATTATCTACCTTTATCAATAAAAAAATCTCTACCGGACAGTCAAGTTAAATTTTTATGAGCGCTTGAAATTAAAATTTTTACAACATTGGATATTCACTCGATTTCTCATGTAGCGATTTCTTTATTTTGTTGCAATTCAAAAACGAACAACTGAAGATACATGAAAATTTCACTGAATGTTTAAATTATCATTTTCTATACACCATACAATTTTGAAAATATTTTGACTCTTTTTGAGCTGTTTAGGGACATTTTCAGTTTTCAATTTTTTTAGTTTTTTTTTTTATAATTGTCAATAAAATTTTATTTGGTGGGCCAAAAAGTCTGAAAATTGAATACAAGCTTTCTTATATATTGTTACAATATCAGTTGAAAAATTTTAAAAATACATAAGCACGATTTTTTTTTATAAGCATTTAAAGTTGGAATTTTGACAAAATTTATCAAAATCTCGAAAATAATCAATCGTTGGAATTAAAAAATTATAAAATGTTCAGTTTTTATAACTAAGAGTTGAAAATTTAAAACAAAGATTCTCTTAAATAATTCATACTGTAACCAAAAAATCTAAAAAATATATAAACACACTTATTTTTTACAGACATTTTAATTTCAAATTTGGACGAAATTACATATTAAAAAACCTAGAATAACTATTTTAGTTATTTTGTTGTGATTGAATAATATTATTCGTGGGTACTTGAAACTTCTAAAGTGTACTATTATATATCTATGATAGTATCACGGTTTTTGTTGATGTATAACGCGTTATAAGTATCTAATGGATATTGTGATATGATTAATTTGGAATTTATTATAGGTACCTATTATAGGTCAATTTTTTGTTTAATACCATAGATATGTATATAATATGTCTTATACTAGACTGACATACCGTCACCGCTCAGAATCGTTTTTCTTATACAATGATATTAGATCATTGAATTCAAATTTAATACCATCCATTATACAGTGACCCACTTGTAACCTACTGTACAGCAGAGCGACACCCACTTGCCCACCTTTTTTTTTAACATTTTGTTTAATGTTTAGTTATTCTTTGAGGGTGTTGAAGCTAAGGTTTCACAAGGTATAAAAGAATCAGAAGTTGGTTATCAAGTGGCTTTCAGTAAACAAGAATTAAGGAAAGTAACTAAAGAGTATCATGGACGAGAGGTGAAAAAAGGCTTAGATCATTTATATAAAAAAGTAGAAAAACACCTTAGTGAAGAAGAAAATTTACTACAAGTAATTATTATTAATTGTTAATTATGTAATTATATAATTATTTGTTATTCATCATAAACCATTGATTATTTTTGAACCCACAATATTATTTTATTATTTGCATTAACTATATTTTGTACTGATTATTATACCCAAGACTAAACAATTTTGTTTTGGATTCTGAGCGGAGCAATGATTTTACAATGATGTGTTCTTTTAAATTTTTTTATTGTTTGTGTGTGTACACTACAAGTAGTTGAAATAATGCTTTGATTTTCAACTTCAGTATCTTGTTTGATGGAAAAGTGAATCTAGTTGGTGCATTGCATCAAGGATGTCAAAATTTAAAATTACCAGTATTTTTCAAAAACGCCAGAAAAACAAAAAAAAAAAAAAATAAGAAAAAACGTAAATTTTTACGCTAAATCGGTTTTTGACAAAATTGATTTTGGTTTTTGGTGTAACTCGAAAACAAATGAGCATAAATACATAGAATTTTGATTGAATATTTATATTGACATTTTCAATTTTTTGTTTTATTTTCTATAATAGTCAATACGATTTTATTTGTTGAGTCAAAAAGTATGAAAATTTAATTCAAGGTTCCTGATATATTAGTTACTTTAGCAGTTGAAAATATTAAAAATTCATACACACAATTTTTTTTCACAAGCATTGAAAGTTTGAATTTTGTCAAAATTAAAAAATTATGTTGTAGTTAAAAATTTACAAAATATTCAACTTTTATAGCTAAGGATTGAAAATTTATAATAAGGTTCCACGTAAATAGGTAAATAAATTACTGAATTTACAATAATATCATCAAATATACTTAGTTATATCAATGGCTGACTGACTGTCTTCGCTCAGAATCGTTTTTCATATACAATGATATTATATCATTGAGTTCAAATTTAACACCATCCATTACAGTGATCCACTGTACAGCAGAACGGCACACACTTGCCTACCTTTTTTACCTTTATAATAAAATAAATGTAATTTAATCTATATTATAATTTTAAATTTTTTTCAGGTGGTTTGGAGAGCTATGCAAGAAGAATTCATTCAACAATATAAATATATTGAGGACTTAATTCAAAGGTGCTATCCTGGTTCCATGATTTCATTAGAATTTTCCATTGAAGATCTATTACAGTATTTCTCAGAAATTGCTAGATCCCATTAGAATATTTAAATATTATAATCAAAAATATAATATAACATAACATGTTTAAACTTTAAATTGATAATCTATTGTATTATCATTTTATCTATTTTAATTTTAACTTATTTATAAATAACATTATTTTGAGAAAACATTTTAATTTTGTTAAAAGTTATGTTCCCAAGCCTTTCTATTATACTTTATCCAGTACGTGTGTAACCGCCGACCGATTCACACGTGTGTTCACGGTCTTCGCTTATCGCATTTCTTAGCTTCCGATAGCAGTAACACACACGTCGCATTACGCAACTCACTGCAATTAAGAAGGTATGTTGTTATACTACGGCCCCCCATAACCAAATAGGTAACAACTTCCACCCCCGCCTTATACACCATCATGGACAACCATGATACACACATAACCCCCAATTCACAATCTAACTCACACAAAACATTCGCGGAAACAACAGCGAACTCATCCTTTCCAAAAAAAGACCAAGCAATTATCTTCAATACAGTAAATGACGTCCCGCAAATCGAGTACATCAAAGCATTCAGCCAACTTACATCGCCTAATAACATAAAATTCGCTTCACGAATATCCAACAATAGATTCTGCATTTATTTTGCTAGTAAGAGTATCGTTGACCATATTATCTCAAAACAATCGTATATCGTTATAAATAACACGCAAATCGCTTATCGTCGGCTCATTAGCCCGGCAAAACGAATCATCATATCCAATGTGCAGCCATCTATACCTCACGACATAATTATAAAAGCTATTAACAATAGCCTCATTAAAATATTATCTCCCATTACATTTATGAAAGCCGGTTTCTCAAACGATGAATACGGTCACATAGGCAGTTTTCGACGACAAGTATATTTACATCCCGACGATATCCATAGACTACCGAGTTCATTATTAATTAATTACGATCAAACCGATTATCGCATATTCTTCTCGGACGACACCGTGTTATGCTATATCTGCAAACAAACTGGTCACACCTCAAACCACTGCAAAAAAGATTTGGATAATACGATCTTAACTAATAGCAATATCCCTCCTCCGCCGGAAAACAAAGAAATCGAAAAAGATAATAACTCACAAAATGACCAAAATATCATGGACCATACTAACATAAATCATAGTATCGAAAACAATTATCAACAATCTGTCAACAAGCTGACTCCCCTTCAAGAACCAGCTGACCACATTAAAAGACCTATCTCATCATACGCCAGCACCAGCGACACCGACAATGCATCCACCACTGAGAACCCTATAAACACGTCATCAACAACACCTACGGAAACTCAAAACCATCAAACCAATAATAGCATCCTCACAACAAAGCTATTAGAATCCCAATCCAACGAAAAAAAAAAAACAAATGCAGGAATAACACATAATACACCCCTAACACCAATTAAGAGCACAAATATAAGCAAGCCTACCACCGAAAAATCCAAGAAAAATCCCCAACCCGCCAACAAAAAAATTAAACGCTCCAACTCCATAGAACTAATAGTAGCTAAACTGGACGAAACACTAGCCCCAGCCATAACTGTTTTTGAAGGAATCCCCAACCGTAAAATAGACTTCAATCAGCTCAAATACATTATTGAAAACTCCCTCAGCGTGGATCATCCCTCTAATATTCTAAACCAATTTAACATAACCCCGATGGAAATGATTGAAATATTAGACACGATTCGTCCGAAAATAAAAAACCTCACGATTAAAAACAGGCTCACGAGACTATGTAACTCATATCTCGAGTCATTATGAATACGCAATCCCTCTTCAGTATAAATAATAAATAAAGCAAATAATTAAAAAATCATCTTCTCAAAATTATATAATAATCATCTTTACAAACACCAAATGCAGTCACAACCAAAAAATATTATACAATGGAACCTCAATGGACTCCATAAAAACATCGATGAAATTAAACTTATAATAAACTTACATCAACCTATTGCAATATGTCTTCAAGAGACTAACCTTAAATATGACGAATCTCCACCTTATATAAATAACTACCAATATGCAACTAAAAACCGTAGAGGCTGTCTGAGGGCAAGCGGTGGTGTCTGCATACTCATCAATAACTCATTTCCTTGGGAGGAAATCCCTATCCATTCAAACATAGAAGCCGTCGCAATATCAATCACACTCGAAACAAAAACCACCCTCTGTAATATCTACATCCCAAATCAATTCAACTTCACACTCATAGATTTAGAAAATATTATCAAACAATTACCACGTCCCTTTATTATTGTCGGGGACTTTAACAGCCACAGTACTACATGGGGTTCATATAAAACCGATTCAAGAGGAAAAATAATAGAAAAATTATTGGAACAAGATAACATCGTAATACTTAATAACAACGAGCAAACTAGAATAAATCCCTCGAACAGAAACCTTTCAGCTATCGATTTAACGTTCTCTACACCTACCATAGCACAAAGATTACACTGGCAAGTATTAAATGAAATATACAATAGTGACCATCTCCCAATCTCTATACAATTCATTTCCAATGCACTTCAAACAAACTACTCTACAACAAAATGGAACCTCAAAAACCCTGACTGGCCTCTATTCGCAAACCTTCTGGAAACAAAAATCAACGCGTCAGAATTCACGGATGAAGATATAGATATCGAAAAAACAGTATCCAAATTCACTGAAATCATCATAGAGACTGCAGAACAAACAATAGGCTACTTGAAACCCCCCTCCAAAAAAACACCGGTTCCGTGGTGGAACAATGAAATTAAACAATATATATCACAAAAAAATAAAGCACTGAAAACATTTATAAAAACCAGATCACTCGAGGACCATATAAAACTAAAAGAACTCAGAGCAAAAACAAGATTCTTGGTCAAAAGTAATAAAACTCTAACATGGCGAAACTTCACCTCCGAAATAGGTGCCCAGGTTGATCCCCACATTATGTGGAACAAAATCCGTTCATTACAGGGACGGAAAAAGCACAGTAATATCTATCTCTCCACAAACTCATCTTTAAACACCGATCCATCTTCAATTGCCCACCACCTTGGAAAATATTTCGAAAAAAACTCCAGCAATGAAATGTACAGCCACGACTTCTTAAGGGAAAACGAAAACATACCATCACCTCAACCCTCCGTAATATCGCCCCAAAATACTAATCAGTCTTACTTAAACAGCCCTATAACAATTAATGAAGTTTTGAAAACTCTCAAAAAATGTACCAGCAAAAGTACCGGACCAGACAATATCCCTTATAGCTTTATTCAAAACTTTACAATCGACACACTTAAAATACTCCTAAAAATATACAATACCATCTGGAACAACAACGTATTTCCACAAAATTGGAGAAACAGTATCATCATACCGATAAGCAAACCAGGAAAAAACAAATTCTCAACTGATGGCTACCGACCCATTTCACTTTTAAATACCTTGTGTAAACTCCTAGAGAAAATTGTAAACCAACGTTTAATATGGTTTTTAGAACAGTCTTATTATCTCACCCCCGAACAATGCGGGTTCCGGAAAAATAAAGGTACATATAACTGCCTTTCCAAAATTCACGCAGAAATACAAAACACATACTCCGAAAATCAATACTTAGGTATGATCAGTCTCGATTTGATGAAAGCCTACGATACAACATGGAAACCGCACATTTTAAACAGTCTCACTAAAGTACTAAGCCAAAACCAAATGTTCAATTTTATTAGTAACTTTCTTAAAACAAGAACATTTCAAGTAAGAATCAACCAAACTCTATCCAAGACTTTCTCACAGGCTAACGGAGTCCCTCAAGGATCTTCAATTTCGGTTACGCTCTTCCTCATAGCCATCAACAATATCACACAGAACATTTCTCCACCTGTCCATTCTACACTCTTCGCGGATGACTTTAATATTTACTGCCGAAGCAAGAGCTTAGCAACCGTCCAAACCCACCTACAACAAGCCATCAACAATCTGCTTAAATGGACCCATACATCTGGCTTCACTTTCTCTCCTGAAAAATCACAATGCACTGTGTTTACACGTAGGCGCAATCAAAACGCTATAAACATAAAAATGGGTGAATACCAACTAATAAATAATAATACAATTAAAATCCTCGGCATCATATTCGACAGAAAATGTTCCTGGACCCACCACATCAACTCCTTGAAAAACTCAATTTCTCCACGTCTCAATGTTATAAAAATGTTATCCCACACATCATGGGGTTCTAAAACTCATGTTCTATTAACAATATACAAGTCACTTATACTTTCTAAATTCGATTACGGATCCTTCATTTGGACAACGGCACACAAATCAATATCAAAGAAACTAGATACAATCCACAACTCAGGTCTCCGTATGTCAATTGGCGCTTATCGTTCAAGTCCAATTCCTAGTATCTATAATCTTGCCTGCACACAACCTCTAGACATAAGAAGACTCAAAATTACATTGAATCACGAATTAAAATTAGCAAGTACCCTTCCTACTCTTGACTTCAAACCAATATTTCAAATGTTACCATCATTACTCCAGGAGAACAACCTTGATACTTCCAAAATACTCACTATTACTCCCTCTCTCACCCCCCAATGGAAAAATCTCATTGAAACCAACACTGAACTTTCTATATTCAAAAAAGACGACACACCCCCTTCCATCTACAAAAAAGAATATTTCCACATAATTCAAAACATCACAAGTGAAAAAATGTATACAGATGCATCCAAAAGCCAAGACGGGGTTGGCGCTGCAGTAATCTGGAATAATTCGGAACTCATGTATAAACTTCCTAGCACTTGCTCAGTTTTCACAGCAGAGTCAATCGCCATATTAAAAGCACTCGACATAATAACCGATCATCACCTACAAGACACCATTATCTTCACTGACTCCCTCAGCGCTATCAACAATATTAAAAACACATATAACCCATCAGACATCGGCCTACATATTCAGAATAAAATCCACACTTTAC